TGGTCATTGGCACTTTTCTAGGGTGATTGAACCATGAATAACATGAAATAATAATTTTCAAATAATTTTCAAATAAAAGGGAATTTTTGAGAAATATGTAAGGATTTTGCGAGTCCTCACAAGGAGAGTTCTGAAGCAAATGAGGAGTGTGACGACCCCACCTCCCCCTAAGGCAAACCAGAGGGTTCGGCGGGCCGCCTGCCCGGCTCTCGCCGGGACTCAGTCGTTCACTAAAGTCCTCAAATGAATTACAAGAATAAACCTCAAATATACATCACATGGTCCACAAATATACATCCAAGTCTCCAATAATTACATGTCACAAATGCAGCGGAAACTAAATCCCAACTATACATCAAATGATTCCAAATCCAAAACTATACAAGATATAGGCCATCCATTCACGTGAATAAGCACAACAAGTCCTGCCTTCGCCTTGAGCCCTGTGGAGGGGAATAAAATATTTTTGGGGTGAGCTAGAAGCTCAGCGAGTAACCAGAAAATCAGTAATCAAATCGGTTTAACAATATTTCTTTTCAATGATGTCATAAATCAAATGATAAGTCCAGAAACGATTACAGCATTTACAAAACATTAAATATGGAGTATCAATAATTCAAGAAACATGTACAATGGAAAGCGATAGTAACATTCATGAAAAGGATACGTTCATTTTTTTATAAATAATCCCTCGTTCATCTTTTTATTCGTTCATCTTTTTTTTTTTCCGGACGTTGGCCGGTCTCCACCCATCCGGACGTAGCCGGACTACAAGGTAATACTCGAGTATACCAAATTCACCCAGGGTCACCATATCGCCCGACCGAGTCCGCTTCTGGCTCGAGTCGATCGGTAACGAAGGGCAGGGCCCAATTCAGCCAAACGGCTTACATTCATGCGCAACTAGCATTTAATCATTAATCGTTCAAAATTTCATATTTATTTAGGTCGAGTGCGATAAAGTACACACTCGCCTAGAAAACTTATTTTAACAATCATTGAAAGCACTTAACACATTATCAATCAATAACAACAAGCCAATAAGTCAAGGAAATATAGCAAACAAGGAACACTCACATGTAAGCACGCATGATATGCAAGAAAACAGTTCAAAAGTAACTTTGGAAACAGTTTAAAAGTAAATAATGCAGAAAACGGTTCATAAATAACTTTAGAAATAGTTTGAGGTCACTCACCTCAATGGCTTAGAAATCATCCATCATGTATCATTGCCTTGCTCAAACCCAAGTCTTAGATCACAAAGTCAATGCAAACAAATCCTTTAAAAGTTCAGACAGCACTTCCTCTAAATTTGCTTACTTTTCCAGCCGTCATGGCTTCATGATTTCCTCATTCCATCCCAAAGGTACACACACAACAACAAGTTCATCCAATAGCCATTCAGCAAACTCCAAGTAGTACAAAGACAAGTCAAGCTAGGGAAAAGTCCGGAAATGAAAGTTAAGCTCAAAATCAGAAAAAACAGTTTTGACGTCATTTTGCGGTAATGGTACCAAAGGCACTACGATGGTCGGATGAAGGTGCAAGACCCACCGTTTCGAAGATAAGAGATAGGGTTACAATATTACAGAAGGTCACTCGACCCAGTTTCGAGTGTAACCAGGTCAAAAATGCAAGATACTACACCAGAATCACAAAAATAGATTCACAGAACGTATTCTAGCGGAAACATCATAACTCAGGCTCTCCAAGTCCAAATCCAGAAATTCCAAAACCAACTGAAAGATAAGAAACAGGGATAAATTTCATCAGAAGACCTCAACAACCAATTCGGAAGCAATTCTAGCCAAAACAACCAATTACAGTCGCAAATCCCAATTTCGGGTAAAACCAGAACAACAATAGTAATTTCAACTTTTCTCACTCTACGCTATTCCGATTGACCTGAAATTTTGTAGGCACCTCTAAAATATCATTCCCTACAACTTTAATTTTTTGATCTAAGGCCAATTCGGCCTCTATCTATGACCAAAAATTTCGGACAGAATGAAGAACCAAGAACCCTAATTTTCCAGATTTCTTCCAAAACAGAATTTACTTGCAATCTTACACTTTTTCCACCTTCTAGAATCATTAAACATCATTTCCAATCATCATACATAACCACATAATCATACTCATATTAAAACAGAAAAAATCCCCAAAAATAATAAAATTTCATCAATTCAACCACAACTCAAGATATAATCCATCAAACCATCTCTTTAGCCATCACAAGTGACACGAAATATGGGCCGCTTATGGGCCATGTTTTAGGCTGCAAGAGATTGAATCTTTTTGTAATAGTTAGTAGTTTATTTTCTACTTTTCTATTTTATTTGCTAGGAATAAATTTGGCCATAGGATAGGCCATGTGGGCCACCTTTGTAGTCCCTACGCTGAGCTGTTACGGGGGCCTCGCTTTTGGGCTAGTGGCGGTCCAAAGGGAAGCCCAAGTGTGGGCCGCGCTTTCCTTCAACTGTTTACAAGCTTTGTTAGGTTTTTAGTTACGGCTACAAATAGCCTTAAGTCGTTGTTTACATGGAGTTTTTGACGATTAATAAAAATTACATTGAGAGTTCTCTCAAGCTTCATTGAAGCACCTTGAATATCTTAGATTTGTATCTTAGGTATTCAATTGACTTATCAATCTAGGACCGCGCTAGATTGTGGCGTCTTCTACAATACCGAGGTTCGTTGACCACGTGATCAACGGGTTTAGGTGATCCGCTGCGTTCGTCGTCTTCAACGTGAGTCCCTGCCTTCTAGATCCAAGTCTTTTGTACGGGTTGCATCACATGGTTGGTGCCGTTCGTATCAGCTGGCATCAGAGCTAGTTGAAGGTATCACGTATATCCCTTGTTTCTCTTATTTGTGTCGTTGTTTTCCTTTTTCGTTTGGAGTCGTTTCTGTTCTTGTCTTTGAGTCTTCAATCTGTCCGCATCGGTTTTGTCTCATTGGGAGTCGAAAAAAAAAATTCTGTTCACGTGTTTCTAATCTGTCCAAGCTTTGTCGCATTTGTTTTGTCTTGTGTTCGAGTTGAAATTTCTGTTTTGTTGCTCCATTGTTTGTGTCGTTGTCTCGTCTTTGTGTCGTATCTAAGTCTGCCCTTTAGGTTTTGAATCTGTCCGCATCAAGTGTGAAGTTGTTGTCGAGTTTGAGGGTCACAATTGCTATCCAAAAATAGCCACAATCTGTTGAGGCAGTCCGCAATTGCTTCCTCTTAGTCATGAGTTGAAAATTCTGTTTTTGTCTATCGTTTGGTTGTCTTGCATCCGGATCTGTCCAGCGTGCATGTTGTGTGTGGGCGGCTGCCACAACTTGTGGTGTGTCCGTGAGAGTCATTAGGGTTTAGAGCTTTGAGTCAAAAAAAAAAAAAAAAAAACAGAAAAGAACGAGAAGAGAACAAGAACGGCTGCCACACCGTTGTTTTCCCTTGCTGTCCAGATTTTGTATCCTTGCCATTCGTGACTTGTGGGCTGTCCAGAATTTGTTTTTCCTTGCCGTCCGTGAGCTGTGAGCTGTTTTGGGTATGCACCATTGATTAGGAAGTGAAACCATCTTGATAGTCGTGAGTTTGGAAACAATTCCAAAGGGTAATTGGTGTAATTTGGCAAGTGCATGAAATCTTATTGGGTTTTCCTTAGTAGTGCATGCAGTCCGACAGGTTTTACTTTGTCATGCATGGAATCTGATTTGCTACCCTTTGCTGGCCATACACAATCAATTGCGGCCAGCCAAGCCTCAAGAGAAGAAAAACTATAGCCATCCATTATCTCACTTTGTTGTTTAAAAAAAAAAAAAAAAACAGCAAGCAACATAATTGTGTCGGCCAAGCCAAATTCCAGAAATTTTATTGCCAACCAATTGAAGTGCCGTGAGTTAGCCTGTCCAGGTTACGTCCTCCCTTTTTTGTTGTTAGTTGTGGTCTACGTTGTTAGCAGTTGTGAGTTTGAGTCGTGTCCACTACCCAGCAATGTAAAAAAAAAAAAAATTTTTGCTGCCATACCCGAATTGGTAGTTGGTGTGAATTGGCAAGTGCGTTACCTGTTTTGATTCCTTTAGCTGAAGCTGACTTGCATGAAATCTGATTTGGCTTGCCTTTTGTCGGCCATACACAAGTGAAAACAAAAAAAAAAAAAAACAAGCAAAACACTTGTTCGGCCAGATTTATTGCCAACCATTTGAAGTGTTACATAGTGGTCCGGATTCTTAATCCAAAAAAAAAAATTAAAATTATTTGCACTCCTTTGTGGTAGTAAAAGGGTGGCGTGGCTTTGGAGTTAATTTCTTGGGAGAATCTTGGGTAACCCGTTGGGGGGAGCCTAAGAAGGGTTGTTAGTGTCACCTTGTTGATTGTCCATTCCAGCCGCCACCCTTACCCTATTTTTAGGGATTTCTTTCCCCTACATTTTCGCCACTACTTATTCCTACTTTTTAGGGATTTCTTTCCCCTACATTTTTGCCACTACTTATTCCTACTTTTAGGGGTTGCCTTAACCTTTCCCTTACCCTTTCTAGTCGGCCATCCTTCCTACATTATAGGGAGTTAATCGCCATCATTTCTTCCCTTAGTTGCACATCCGAACCTACTAAACAAGCAAGGCAGATTGTGTTTCTAAAAAAAAAAAAGAAAGAGAGTTGTTCCTTTTATTTTTGGGTCTTGTCTTTCCTTCATTTCTATCCGTGCCTTAGTCTTCTTTGTGTCCTTTCATTTGAGTCGTGCCATTTCATTGTCCCTCGAGTCAATCATTCCATTATTCTCTATTCCATTGAGGATTGCCACCCTCTAGTGCTCCAAAATTGGAAGTTGATTGTTTGCTTGGAGGACTTCTAATTTCTTCAAGGTAAGCTATCAAGAGGGTTTGAGAACATTGGTGAGATTATTAGAGTGCTCTTGAGTGACATACACGAGTGTAGAGCACAAACACGCGAGGGAGTGAGTGAGGACTACACTTCCCTACTTGTTTGCTACTAACCTTTTGCAGGTATACTACATCATGTCGGAGGAGAGTGATGCATCCAAACTAGGCTCCAAGCTACACAATGAAACAATGATGGGAGAATTCCAACACATGCTTAGGGAATCTATGGCATCACTACACCAACGGATGGACCGCTTAGAGCTTTCTCAAGCTCGGTCCAACGCAGCTCATCGAGATGTACCACCTCGTGAGGAGTTCGCTTCCAATAGCGAGGAAGATGACTTCATCCGTCGGCCTAAGCAGGACTACCGGAGGACCGATGACGGATTAAAAGGAGTCAAGATCAAGATTCCCGCATTCCAAGGCAAGTCTAGTCCGGAGGCTTACCTAGAGTGGGAACAGCGAATCGAGATGGTATTCGAGTGCCAGGACTACACCGATGATCAAAAGTCAAACTGGCAACCCTCGAATTTACCGATTACGCTATTGTCTGGTGGGAGCAGGAGCGCACTAGCAGGCGCCGCAATAGAGAACGACAAATTAGTACATGGGAGGAGTTACGAACCACTATGAGGAAACGGTTTGTACCCAGCCATTACTATCGTGATCTGTATCAGCGGCTCCAGACATTGGTCCAAGGAAGCCGAACTGTGGAGGACTACTATAAGGAGATGGAGATCACCATGCTCCGAGCTGATATTGTGGAGGATAGAGAGGCTACCATGGCAAGATTTCTCAACGGCTTAAGACCTGAGATCGCCGAATTGGTGGAGTTGCAAAACTACGTGGACATGCCTGAGCTAATTGATAAGGCATCCAAGATCGAGAGGAGGCTTGAGAGGAGGGGTAACACTCGCTTCTCGGCAACGCCTGCGTGGAGAGGCAACCCGACTTTCGAGCGGGAACGGCCTAGTCCAGGGGTGTCCAAGTTTACTCCTAAGACCGAACCACCCCAGCCAGCCCCAAAGGCAACTCCAAGGCCTCCATTCGACTCGTCCAAGCCACGAAGCCGCGACAAATGCTTCAAATGCCAAGGATTTGGGCACATTGCTTCTCAACGTCCTAATAGGCGTACCATGATTGTCCTACCAAGCGGAGATGTCGTATCGGACGATGAGGATGAATTCGCCGAGATGCCTCCATTGACTGATGAAGGTGAAGATTTTGAGGAGGAGGTTGAGGCCACTACCGAGCAAGTGGGTGTTGCTCTAGTAGCCCGTCGGGCTCTTGCAACCCAAGTCAAGAAGGTGGATGAAGCCCAACGTGATAACATTTTCTACACAAGATGTCATGTCAAGGATAGAGTATGTAGCCTCATCATCGACGCAGGTAGTTGTACAAATGTGGCAAGCACTCTCATGGTGGATCATCTTTCCTTGCCCACATTAAGGCACCCTAGCCCATACCGCTTGCAATGGCTCAATGAGAGTGGCGATATCAAGGTCACCAAGCAGGTGGTAGTGCCTTTTCGAATTGGGAAGTATGAGGACGAGGTCCTTTGTGACGTCGTTCCAATGCAGGCTTCTCACATTTTGTTAGGACGGCCATGGCAATATGACAAGAAGGCTACTCATGATGGCTTTACCAACAAATACTCATTTTTGCACCACAACAAGAAGATGACGCTTGTCCCTCTCACACCTCAACAGGTGCATGAAGACCAATTGCGATTGCAACAAGAGCATGAACGAGAGTTGTCCAAGAAGTCAACCGATTATAAAGCAAACACTAAGGCACCAGTCGAGAGAACATCTATCCCTGGAACATCTGGTCGAATGGAGAAACGGCCCAACTTGCTTGCCAAGAACAGGGAAGTTTGTAAGTTACTTTTGTCTAAGCAAGTTGTCTATATGTTATATTGTAAAGAGGTGTTTTTACTTTCCCATGAGACACTCATTGACTTACCTCCTGAAATTTCTTCTTTGTTGCAGGAATTTGAGGACGTTTTCCCAGACGAGATTCCAAGTGGACTACCCCCACTTAGAGGGATTGAGCATCACTATGAAGATCCTTATCTTGTGAATGTGAATGGTAAGCTGTCAAGTGAATTTATACCTACAAATGCTAATCGTGTAGGTCCAAATTCGACCATTCAGGGCACAAGGCTGACTAAAGAGCGTTGGAGTGGTTGGAGTAAAGCATTGAGTTTCCCATGGTGGATTGTGAGCATTTTCAAGCTGACCAAGAGACATGTGCACCGAATTACAATAATCATGACGTATGCAAGTATCCTTCATTCTAAGAGAGCCAACATGTGGAGATTTGAGGAGTCATACGGCCAACTCTTGCAAAACCATTCATTTCCAAACACGATTTGAGGACAAATCTTTTTTTCAAGAGGAGGGGAATGACACGAAATATGGGCCGCTTATGGGCCATGTTTTAGGCTGCAAGAGATTGAATCTTTAGTAATAGTTAGTAGTTTATTTTCTACTTTTCTATTTTATTTGCTAGGAATAAATTTGGCCATAGGATAGGCCATGTGGGCCACCTTTGTAGTCCCTACGCTGAGCTGTTACGGGGGCCTCGCTTTTGGGCTAGTGGCGGCCCAAAGGGAAGACCAAGTGTGGGCCGCGCTTTCCTTCAACTGTTTACAAGCTTTGTTAGGTTTTTAGTTACGGCTACAAATAGCCTTAAGTCGTTGTTTACATGGAGTTTTTGACGATTAATAAAAATTACATTGAGAGTTCTCTCAAGCTTCATTGAAGCACCTTGAATATCTTAGATTTGTATCTTAGGTATTCAATTGACTTATCAATCTAGGACCGCGCTAGATTGTGGCGTCTTCTACAATACCGAGGTTCGTTGACCACGTGATCAACGGGTTTAGGTGATCCGCTGCGTTCGTCGTCTTCAACGTGAGTCCCTGCCTTCTAGATCCAAGTCTTTTGTACGGGTTGCATCACATGGTTGGTGCCGTTCGTATCAACAAGTCTCTAATTTAGCATAATCAAGAACAAAGAAAGGATGGCTAGACATGATACCTTCAAATATCAAGAAAGGTGATGACTTAGTCCTTTGCCTTCTCTAATCACTCCACCACTACCTTCAATTTTTCCTAAACAAGTGACTTTTGTGGAGGAATTCGAAAGTTTAACGGTTGATTCACAAGATTGAGCAAGAAATGGAGTTGGAGTTGAAGGCTTTCTTCTTGTATTTTTGCTCCAAGAGGTTCGGCCAAGCTTGCAGAAATTTGGGTGATTTTTGGGTCAAAATTGAGTATTAGTAAAGGTAGGAAATAATGGTCAAAGTCAAGGTTGAATAGGAAAGTGACACTTGTCACCCTTTGTAATGCAACTCTATCCTTTTGTCTCTCCAATACAAATATCTTGACACTTTGTAAAATAAAATCACTTAATACAAAATTCCAACAAGTTGTCAAAAATATAATGCATTTACCGCACTTGCGGGTCCCACGTTCAAAATACGTTTTTAATTACTCAAAAACTAACCAATACTAGAAAAATCATTTTAAAACTATTTTTGCTCATAAACTTTATCTGGGGAAATTTTCAAATCAAGAAAATGTAGAAAAGGCGGGCGTTTAAAAAATAAACCCTAGAAAATTAGAAACTTTTTGGGTTCTCACACTTATACTTTTCGGGGCGTCACAATCTCCCCTCCTTAAAAGAATGTCGTCCTCGACATTCCATCTTATACCAATCAAATCAAGACATCCCGCAAGAATCACAAATATTTCAAACCAAACCCACAGTCCGGCATCCTAAACTTCAAGCCTAGGATACACTACAGAGATCTGAAGCCTAAACTCTGATACCAACTGTGACGACCCCACCTCCCACTAAGGCGAACCAGAGGGTTCGGCGGGCCGCCTGCCCGGCTCTCGCCGGGACTCAGTCGTTCACTAAAGTCCTCAAATGAATTACAAGAATAAACCTCAAATATACATCACATGGTCCACAAATATACATCCAAGTCTCCAATAATTACATGTCACAAATGCAGCGGAAACAATTCCCAACTATACATAAAATGATTCCAAATCCAAATTGTACAACATAAAGGCCATCCATTCACGTGAATAAGCACAACAAGTCCTACCTTCGCCTTGAGCCCTGTGGAGGGGAATAAAATATTTTTGTGGTGAGCTAGAAGGTCAGCGAGTAACCAGAAAATCAGTAATCAAATCGGTTTAACAATATTTCTTTTCAATGATGTCATAAATCAAATGATAAGTCCAGAAACGATGACAGCATTTACAAAACATTAAATATGGAGTATCAATAATTCAAGAAACATGTACAATGGAAAGCGATAGTAACATTCATGAAAATGATACGTTCATTTTTTTATAAATAATCCCTCGTTCATCTTTTTATTCGTTCATCTTTTTTTTTTTCCGGACGTTGGCCGGTCTCCACCCATCCGGACGTAGCCGGACTCCACCCATCCGGACTTAGCCGGACTACAAGGTAATACTCGAGTATACCAAATTCACCCAGGGTCACCATATCGCCCGACAGAGTCCGCTTCTGGCTCGAGTCGATCGGTAACGAAGGGCAGGGCCCAATTCAGCCAAACGGCTTACATTCATGCGCAACTAGCATTTAATCATTAACCATTGAAAATTTCATATTTATTTAGGTCGAGTGCGATAAAGTACACACTCGCCTAGAAAACTTGTTTTAACAATCATTGAAAGCACTTAACACATTATCAATCAATAACAACAAGCCAATAAGTCAAGGAAATATAGCAAAAAAGGAACACTCACATGTAAGCACGCATGATAGAACAAAACAATTCAAAAGTAACTTTTGGAAACAGCTTTAAACAGTAAATAATGCAGACAAACGGTTATAAATAACTTTAGAATTATGTTTGAGGGTCACTCACCTCAATGCGTTAGAATCATCCATCATTGTATTTCATTGCCTTGCTCAAACCCAAGTCTTAGATCACAAACTCAATGCAAACAAATCCTTTAAAAGTTCGGACAGCACTTCCCCTAAATTTGCTTACTTTTCCAACCGTCATGGCTTCATGATTTCCTCATTCCAACCCAAAGGTACACACACAACAACAAGTTCATCCAATAGCCATTCAGCAAACTCCAAGTAGTACAAAGACAAGTCAAGCTAGGGAAAATTCCGGAAATGAAAGTTAAGCTCAAAACCAGAAAAAACAGTTTTGACGTCATTTTGCGGTAATGGTACCAAAGGCACTACGATGGTCGGATGAAGGTGTAAGACCCACCGTTTCGAAGCTAAGATATAGGGTTACAATATTACAGAAGGTCACTCAACCCAGTTTCGAGTGTAACCAGGTCAAAAATGCAAGATACTATACCAGAATCACAAAAATAGATTCACAGAACGCATTCCAGCGGAAACATCATAACTCAGGCTCTCCAAGTCCAAATCCAGAAATTCCAAACCAGTTGAAATATAAGAAACAGGGCTAAATTTCATCAGAAGACCTCAACAACCAATTCGGAAGCAATTCTAGCCAAAACAACCAATTACAGTCGCAAATCCCAATTTCGAGTAAAACCAGAACAGCAATAGTAATTTCAACTTTTCTCACTCTACACTACTCCGATTGACCTGAAATTTTGTAGGCACCTCTAAAATATCATTCCCTACAACTTTCATATTTTTAGCTAAGGCCAATTCGGCCTCTATCTAGGACCAAAAATTTCGGACAGAATGAAGAACCAAGAACCCTAATTTTCCAGATTTCTTCCAAAACAGAAATAAAAATTATATAATTCTTGTCACGCCCCATTTTTAAAAAAAGAAATAAAAGAGTTTAGAAAAATAGATTCTTGACTTTTTGGAAAAAATGAGTTTTTTTTTAAATAAAGAAAAAGGGCCTAAATGGGACTTATAATGCGACGATTTGGGCCCAAATTATAGTTTAAAAAAGGGTTTTTGAAATAAAAATCGGAGTCGCCACTCGGTATTGAGTTAAGGTGTACCAAGTCACCTAAAGATTAATTTTTAAAGAAAAAATAGAAAAACCCTTTTTGAACGGCTCCAAGTCTACGTGAATCAAAGAAAAAGGTTCGGGAGTCACATTTGAAGAAAGGGAAGGCAAGGATAAAAATCCAAGGCACCCTTTCGACCTAACCAAGGCTAGTTGCGTGATTTAGTCAAAGATTTTTTTATTCTTAACCTAAAAATTTATCACATTTGGATGTACTATATGAATGCAACACTAGACCTAGGAGGGTATCGGGGGTCAAAATTTCTCTTCAAAGCTCAATTGATGCCAATCACATTAATTGTGATGCCCAATGCGGATTCTTTGGAAAGGTCACGAATAATGCAAAAATATGAGACTCGAAAGAAAGAAAAAGTAAAGAAAATAATAATATACCAATGTGTATGACCTAAAGGAATGCATCATAATGGGTGCGGGGAACTTATACTCGTGACTTTCGATGTTCCCTTTAATAGAGGGAATACGAGCGTGCTAAGGCTAGAAAGCCAAACTCGTCCATATTCCATACGCAAGGGGTTATTCCCTAATCTAATCAAGCAAATGCACTACTCTAATCCTAATTCTAAAATGAATGCAATTCTAATGTTGTGTACCATACATAGGGGTATGTATTTAGGGATAAGGGATATACGTATAAGGGGAATATCAGACCAAATGATAAAAGGCCCTAGAAAGTGAAAAATATGCATGAGATGGAATGATTTTATCACACAATCATGATCTAACGCGCGAAGGGCTCCTAAGGGTCTAGCATTGGACTAGCCCATGTTTCTACTTTCTCACTACGTTGGACTAGTGAGAAATCGAACAAGGAAACCACAACTAGCGTTGGACTAGTGTGGTATCGAGAAATGGATCACAACTAGCGTTGGACTAGTGTGATAACGTCACATGTTAATTATAATCTCATAAAAACACAATAAAGCGAGTAAACACATAATATCACATAAACACATAACACATAATCATGCTATCTAGATGCAAGACCCTAAGAAAGCGGTAACACATAGCACGTAAGCATGCAAATCACACAAGCAAAAAGAAAGCTAATAAAACCCTAGCTATTACATTTGAGGGGGGGCCTACTACAATCTAAACGGGGGAACTGAAAATAAATAAAATAAACCTAACTATTACAATTTGGCATTTAAACGCCTTTTAAACAATCAAAATGAACTAAAATAAATATACGAAATTAAGACGATTAAAGAGAATAAATAAATAAATAAAAATGAAAACATTCAAAAGGCATGCAATTAAACACATAGAGTCACATAAGTACACATAGGGTCAAATACAGTAAAAAATAAGGGATAAGTGTACCTCCTTGAATTGGGGCCCTAATGGAGTGAAATTACTTATTTACCCTCCAAAAATAAAAGGAAAAAGGTCAAAGCATCACTTTAATTAACAAAATCTCAAGGAATAAAATAAAATTGAGTGACTAAACAAAGCATTCAAAATGAGTTAAACAACCCCTATTCATCCAATTA